AACATTCAAAACAAGAAATAAACAATTCAAACAATAGTCCAACAATCAGATCTGGAATTGAAGCTTAGAATTGGGTCAACAGCAGAAGCAAATGCATATATTACCAGCTTGAAGGGTCCTCGTATACATGAACCCCCCCACCCACCCACCCGGTGTGTGTGTGTGTGTTTGTGTGTGTGTGTTTGTGTGTGTGTGTGTGTGTGTGTGTATGCATGTGTCACTTTTTGCTAAATTTAAAAATGGAGGATGAATAAACAAAGGGCCCAATGGTACAATGGGGGTAAAAACTTTGGCTATAACATAGAATTAGAGAAATGCCAAATTTTATGGGAAAGGAGCTATAGATTAACAATGGCAACTTCTTATAAAGAAAATCTATATAAAATGTTTTATAGATGGCATTTACCACTTGCTAGGTTAACTAAAATGTCTTAAAAATATGTCTAGCAAATGTTGGAAATGTAATCAAAAGATACATTTCATATGTGGTGGAGTTGTGCTAAAACAAAAAAAAAATACACAGATGGCTAGAAAAGATAATAGGGAAACATTGTAGATTTTTAAACCTGAACTGTTTTTATTAGGGATGTAATTAGAAAAAAAAATTCATAAGGAAAGTATGCATTTAGTATTGCATGTCTTAACAGCAGTGAGGATTATCTTGGCACAATATTGGAAAGATGAAGAAACACCGCAAGAGGAAGAGATAATTAAGAAGATATTAGATTGTGCAGAAATGGACAGACTTACACTGAAAATCAAGCAGATAAAAGACACAGAATATCATCAAACATGGAACTTATTTTATCAGTGGTTGGAAAAAGCGGGTGGAGAGTAAGAAATAGAATTTGTATTGTTAGGCAAATTAAATACCCAGACAACACAATGTTTATTAAGCACTAAGAAATGTAATTAATAAAACATTAATAAAATGTAAAAAAAAATAGTGACCACATCACTCTCTCCAGATTACCCTTAGGGTTTTTGACCAATAAATCCCAGAGCTGGTGTTGTTATTGCTACTCACCTGATCGATGTAGTAGGCGGTGCCCGCTCGTATCTCCCTTCGCTGCTTGAGATCAGTTTCTGTCGTGTCCCTTGAAAGTGCCATATATTCCACCTCTCGTTTGGTCAGTTCCTGCAGAAAGTGGAATTGAATTGGACGAGAAAAAAAATATTTTTAAGCTGCAGAATTTAACCTCAAACGGTTCAATGCAGCACAAACTCAAACAGCCACCAAATGGAAACAAATCTAAGGCTGAAGGAACGGTTGTAGGAATTGGGTATTGTCTCATTTAATGAAAAGAAGGACTGGGGGTGACATGATAGCAGTCTTCCAATATTTGAGGGGCTGCCCCAGAGAAGAGGGAGTCAAGCTATCCTCCAAAGCACCTGAGAGCAGGACAAGAAGCAAAGGATGGAAACTACTCCATGAGACAAGCAACTAGAATTAAGTAGCACCTTCCTAACAGTGAGGATAATTCATTGGTGGAAGGACTTGCCTTCAGAAGTGGTGGGTTCACCATCACTGGAGGCTTTTAAGAAGAGATTAGACAACCACTTGTCTGAAATGGTATAGGGTTTCCAGCTTAAGCAGGGGGTTGGACTGGATGACCTCCAAGGTCCCTTCCAACTCTGTTATACTGTTATTCTGAAACTCAGTTTGGTGTTCCCTTTCAGTCATCACGGTTTCAAGTTTTAGAATTATACATGGTTTGATCAGTAATCAAGATGCAACTTATCAATTTCTCTACAGAGGAAGTTCACTGGTTAAGAGTGACCGGGGTAAAAAATGGGTGAAGAAACCAAGGAATTTGTCTTCCTTCCCATTTCTACCAATAAAGATATCGATCAATGTTATATTCAGACCTTAAGGCAGACAGTCTAGACAACTGAGCTGTCGATGAGATTCTCAAGAATGCAGGTCATGGTTGTCCAAAAGGTGCTTTTTTACCCACCCACCCCCCTCCAAAAAATAAATAAATCACTGGACTTGTTTGTTTTGTTTGTTTTTTACTTTGAAAACGTTTCGCTTCTCATCCAAGAAGCTTCTCTTGGATTTTGGGGGGGGAAAAAAGATAGCTGATTGAGGGGAATCCTGGGAGTTGAAGTCCACACATCTTAAAAGTTGCTGAAGGTTGAGAAACGATGCTCTAAATCCTGGAGGAGTTGGGGGGGGGGGGGGTTCCCAAACTCGGTTTCGGTGGGGGCTGCAACGGGGTTGTGTGGGCCCGTCGGGGCGGGGAGGGGGGCGGCTCGATATCACCCGTGTTGGGGGCACCTGTGGTGGCCAAGTGCTAAGGGAGGATTTCCCTGAGACCTTCTC